ACGGGACCCAAAGAGTAAGGACCAGGGTTACTTCAGCGGCTCAACCCAGTTTAAGCACCGTGAGAAACTCAGAAATCTATGTGATGCGAAGACGTTCCTCATCCAAGGCGAATGAAAGGCGCAGAAGCATTCATCTAACAGGCGGCTTGAAAGATACTTTGTGCATGTTTTCAAATAAAGCGCAAACTCGAAGGGAAAGAGAGGTTGAGCAATATGGCTACCAAACTGCGAAACAATTAGAGTTAGTTCGCGACATTCGTCGACGGTCTCGAAAGTATTCACGTCCCACCTGGGCAAAGGAGGTTGCCTTGACCAGAGCAATAGCAAGAGATTTAGAGAGAGTCCAAAACTCTACATGGAAAACTTATGACACTGCCTCGAAAGATAAGACATCAATTAGACGTGGAAGGAAGCACAGTGTCTTGAATGAGGAGACTTTTGACAGACTTCTTATGACATCCTCTAAATACTTGAAGAAGGACTGGTCTAAAGTGCTACATGGAATGGGAAAGCTAAAGACCTCGATGAGAGGATTAAGGGAAAGGTTCAGGAAGAGCTCAGCGTTTCGGGTGAGGGCAATCTGGCTGAATATAACGGCTTTTCCGAAACAGGTGTGGTGAAGACAGTCTTTGAAAACACAGCAACAGTTAGGGAAAGCGCGACACTGTTTCCATCGTTGGAAAATGAGACAACAGTCAAAGCAGTCTTTAAAGAAAAACATGCAGGAAGCGCATCATTCGAAAGATTCCAGTCTTGATCGACCGCAATCACTCGAGGAACCATTTAAAGGTAAGAGCGAACATGTTAGGAAGGAAAAGGGAGTGCAACTTTCTGCAACAACTACAACTTCTGCAAATAAAGCAGTTTCGGCGAAACCAGTAAAGGAGCGGAGGTCGGTAGCCACTTCATGGATGACACCTTGCAGGGTAGAGAAAATGCTGAGGCATGCAGATCTAGAAGAAAATTGGTGTCATCCGAACTCACCGAGAAACATCCACCAAACACTCACTCAGTGGCGATAGTGTTAGCAAGTTCATCAACTGAGGTTGCAGATACTCGAGACACCAGTAAAGTAGCGGGGTTAGGTAGCAACGTCAAAAGTAACACCTCGCACTGCAGCGTAAATACTGAGCCGTGTGGGTCTCGAAAAAAATCGCTGACATCTGAGCTCACTGAGAAACGTCGACCGAGAGCTCATTCAGTGGTAAAAGTGGAGGTAAGTCCATCTGCTGAGATAGCAGATACCCAAGATACTAGTGAAGTAAAAGAGTTCGGTAGCAAAGTCAAGAGTAACACCTTGTACTGTGGCGTAAATACTGAACCGCGTGGGTCTCAAAAAAACTCGCTGACATCTGAGTTCACTGAGAAACGCCGTCCGAGGGCTCATTCAGCAGCAAAGGCGGAGGCAAGGCAATCTGTCGAGGCAGCAGGCACCCGAGACACTAGTGAAGTAAAAGAGTTCGGCAGCAATCTCAAGGGTAACAACTTGCACTGTAGCGTAAATGCTGAGGCAAGGAGGTCTGGAGCAAAACTATGTTACACCTGAGCTCACCGAGAAAAGGCAACTGAGAGCTCACTCAGTGGCTGAGGTAGAGGCAAGTCCATCTGCTTGTGTAACAGATACCCGAGACACTAGTAAAGCTACAGAGGTCAGTAATCAACTCGAGGGTTACACCTTGCACTGTTGCTTAAATGCTGTGGAATCCGGTTCCCGAAGAAACTACATGACGTCAGAACTCGTCAATAAACGTCAATTGAGTACTCATTCAGTGACAAAGGGGGAAGCAGGCTCATCAGCTGCGATAGCAAGCTGGTAAGCGTCTCAACTTACGTGTAGCTGACCTTAGTTTGAAGTTGCAAGCAAATGGAACAGCTATCGAGCAAGTTAAACATCAGAAACAGCTTGGGGTTACAATTGATCAAGAACTAACTTTTAAGGAACATGTAGATAAACTTTGTAAGAAGCTTAGCAAAAAAATTGGCCTACTGAAAAAGTTGTGTACTTATTTACCCATTGAGGAAAGATTACTCTTCTATAATGCCCTTATTAAGCCGGTCATGATGTATGGTAGTATAGTTTGGACCTATTGTTCTAAGGAAGATCTCATGAGAGTGTTTCGGTTGCAGAAACGTGCAGCGCGTGTAATATTAGGTACAGGTATCAGATCAAGAACTGTGGAAAATTTTAAGAAACTAAATTGGATCCCATTCTTTGATGAAGTCAAGATAAGAAAGTGCGTGTTAATCTATAAGGCACTGCATGGGGAATCCCCTACGTATATTGAAAGTACTTTAACTACAAATCACTCCCTGCATGGTAGAGAGACCAGGCATGGCCAGTATAACCTAATCTGTCCCAAGTATCGAAATACTACTGAGGCAGGAAGGTCTTTCCAAGTTAGTAGTATTAAGTTATGGAATAGTCTTCCANTTGATGAATTATTTTATAAATTCTTATAGAGACATTGATTCTTTTGAAGCTGTATTATAATCTAGTTTTATTGTATTTATAATCTTTGAATAGTTACATTGTTCAAATAGTTAGTTCTATTTTAATCTCTATGGCTTAGAATGTATTACTTACTAACTTTAGTTTTGAGGGCCACTGGTTTGTCAGCGCAAGCTGTTATGTGTCTACCCCCTTTAAATGAAGTCGATTGTTATTATTGTTATTATTATTATTATAGCAGATACCTGTGATGGCAGTGAGGTAACAGCGTTCGGTAGCACCCTGCAGTGTAACGTTAACTCTGAGGCATATCGGTATCGAAAAAGATTGGCAGTATCAGAGATTCCTGCGAAATGGAAATTGGGGGCTCATTTAGCGGTAAAGGCAGAACCAAGTGTAGTAAGAAGTTCTGAATTAATGGATCTACCCAGAGAAACCCAGACTAAGGTCATTGAGTGACCAAAGCCAACTGAAAATTCAAAAACTACTGTTGAGCTTGATTTTGAGTCCCGACGTGGACGCTGTAATGATTTCTACGTAGAGAGCTTTCAGACGAAGTCGTTAGTAATGAGGCCAATAGGAGAGCATCGAAATATACATAGAAGGAGATCCCAATCTACCAGTCAGGTACAGCAGAGCTTGTTTGATGTAAGCGTAGCTATGTTAAACGGTAATGGGATTAAGAAAGATTGGACATCTCCACCGTGTGAACACAATAGACTTCATGATGCGAGTTTAAAAGGCGAAAGTGTACAGGAAATACCTAAAGGTCAAATGCTTCAGCAGGAGTTTTCTTTCAGGGACAATGACGAACTTGCTGGGAACATGGATGAAAGTGAAAGTGAAAGTGTCGTCCGTGGAAAAACGCTTCCTTCAATTTCAGGTGGTTCAGTTGTCATGAAGTCGAACATTTTGAGACATTCAACGGAAACCACCAGTGATATAAGTAACAAATTTGATGAGGCTAAGGAAAGCAAGAGAGAGAGAGTGTCGATCCAGCTTTCACCTGCGTTCAGCGGCGTTAGGCGGTGTGAGCCACGAACGGAAAGACTGAGTTCTTTGAGACAGGAAATCGGCGGAAGAAATTCCTTTAATTCAAAAACAATGTCTTTTGGAACCGAAGACACGTCATCAGTCTTATACCTCGAGGGCGATACTCTGATTTCACGAAAAAAGTTGAAGAAGGTCCGATCAAACTTTCTAGGACAAGAACCCACCGAGGGTTTGACAATGAAGTGTAATTCACTGATGACGGAAAGTGTCGGCAGGGACGATTCTGCTTTGGGAAATCCGAAATTACTGACTTACAGTCGGTTTGCTGTTGGTTCAAGTGAACTGAGTAGACTTCGCCGAGAATCGTTTAGTTCTAAGCTGAATTGAAAGCTACGACTCTGTAGTGGATCTGAAGTGGGGGAGAGAAAAGAATAACTTGTAATTGAACCGCTACAAAGGTTCTACATGAGCTTCAAAAAGAATTTATTCAGCAATGTTGTTAAGAACACTTCACTAGATCAGATGGAGCTATTGGTATCAATCACGAGCAGTAACTATTAATTTCCTCTGGAAAAGGAAACGGCATTATGAGAGAAATTTATGTTTTTTTTTTCTTAGTTTAGAACAAATTCCCTATTAAAACAAAGAGGATGAGGAAACTTTCCTACTATACAACGAATTTAGGATTAGAACACGACAGGGTATTATTTGTCAAGGATAAAACATTATATGATAGGCAAATGAATGCGATTATCATGGGTTTTTGGTACCATCACAATAAAATGAGGCAACGGATTCCTTTAAAACCGGACTCTTTGATAGTTATATATAATGTTTGAAAATAAAGAATTTGTGAGAATCTTTTATTGGGGATCACTATTATTATAGAGTATGAAATCTGTTACAAGCTCACTCATTCACCAACCATCGAGAATTTCGCGACATAGGAATGTACATAGGGAAAGAGGCAAAATAAAAGAACTGATGGGAAGAACAATAGTTCAGCATGCATCAGTGCATTTGGTACGTCTTTTTTGGCGTCTAAGATACTTGCCAATGCCCTTACCTGACTCCCTTGGGCGTCGATGGGTCATAGAATGTTTACCTTTCACGGGTGAGTTTATCGAAAATCCAAATATGTTTGATGCATTTACGTTAGTTTAAATCCATTGACGACTTAGAAAAGGAAAGAAAATAATTTTCTATGACTTGCTACGTTTCAACTGTTGTAGGAACTTCATTTGCTTGAGTCAATGCCACTGCATAGAGCTTTTTCATTTGTTTAAAGAATACACTTTTTGGTAACCACAACAGACACTGGACTCACAATTACTATAAACAAAAAAAGTGTTTTAAACCGACGTTTCGAAGTCTGCATGACCTCATTATCAAGTAAAATGTTAAAACTGATGTAAAATTGTAGCTCAGAGATTATATACAAATAAAATGTGATAACTTCATTAGAATAATGAGCGTTCATTGTTATTGGTGTCAGATCGTGCAGTATATGTTTAAATAAATACAATGTTTAAATAAATATGTTTAAATAAATACAAAACCCGACAAAGGATCTGGCGTAGTAGTAATGGACAAGACAGAGTACATCCGTCTACTAAGTGATGCTTCCATCAAAGACACAACGAAGTTCACCCCTATCAACACAGAAAGACCAAAAACACGCGGCCGGCCTCCTAAACACTACCATCCCTTACTACAAAAAGAAAAACAGCTGGAGTCCGTCGTCAGAAAAATCCTGCCAAAGCCGATTGCTGACACAGTTTGTCGCAAAGGTTCCCGGCTTGCTCACCTTTATGGTCTTCCAAAGACTCACAAACAGCAACTATCAATGCGACCGATACTATCATCGACTGGGACCTACAACTTCGCCCTGGCCAAGTGGCTTGAAGAGAAGCTTAAGCCCCTTTCATTAAATCAGCACACTATCTGCGATATCTTCTCCTTCGCCGAAGTGATAAGGGAAACACCACTCAACCCGAATGACATTCTCGTGTCGTATGACGTATGTGCTTTATTTACCAACGTGCCACTCGACGAGACTATTGAGATCATCGCTGAAAAAGCCTTTAAAAACAACTGGTTTAATGAAACGCATGGTCTCAACCTCACAAAGACAGGTCTTACCGAACTTTTAAGAATAGCAACCAAAGATCAGCTATTTCAGTTCGACGGTCAACTTTATGAGCAGGTGGACGGTGTGGCCATGGGCTCGCCCCTGGGACCCCTTATGGCAAACGTTTTCCTGTGCTCCATTGAAGAACAACTGGATCGCAACAACAAGTTACCAAGTTTCTACAAAAGGTACGTCGACGACACATTAGCCACGATGCCAAATATTCAAGCCGCAACAGCCTTCCTTTCAACATTGAACGAATGCCATCCTGCCATACAGTTCACAATGGAAATTGCTGAAAACAACAAGCTTCCATTCCTCGGTATGATGATTGAGAAAAACGGTTGCCACCTGACAACAAGCGTATATCATAAACCAACTGATACAGGACTGCTCTTACATTACCAGAGCCATGTCGATCAGCGTTACAAAAGATCTCTGCTGAATACAATGCTGAACCGAGCTTACCGCCTGTCATCAACGAAAGAATCTTTTACGAAGGAATGCCAGCATCTCAAGCGGATGTTTACTAAGCTTAAGTACCCAGTGAAACTCATCAACTCAGCTATCGCCTGGTACACGAGTTCTACGATCCAAAGCCGTCACGAAACCCCAACTGAACTTGACGCGGCTACACAAAAACCTGTCAGAATAACTTTACCATTTAAAGACCAAAAATCGGCCGACACAGTAAGACATCAGCTGAAAGATCTTGGCCGGAAAATCGGAACTGACCTACAACCAGTTTTCACGAGTCGTAAGATCGAGGGAAAGCTCAAGATACAAGAAGAGAAGCCCGCTTTAATTAACCACCAATGCGTTGTTTACACTTTTAAATGTGATTCGTGCGATGCGGATTATATCGGTTATACCACACGCCATCTTCATCAACGCATAGAAGAACATAAAGCCTCTGTCATTGGCAAGCATCTGAAAGAAGCCCACAGTGTAGCGTCCACTAGCCTAGAGGAAATGTTTTCCGTTCTCAAGAAATGCCGCGG